CGATTAATATAAAATATGAGTATTCTTTATGAGATTGTAAAAGTTACTTAATGTGCAATAGAATTCTCCATTCTACCGCACCAAAACACTCCCAGACAGGATAAATAGTGAAACCTTCTATGTATGTCCTCTAAAGTCACTATACAGATTTCCAGGCAAGGGTAATATCCATGCTTGTAGAGCAACATAAACAAGATTCTACTAGTACAAGGATAAAATGATCCCGTTTTAATACAAGGAAACCAATTAAAATAGCCATATAAAGCTACAATTTAAAAATTTTGTTCCCTCACTCCGGTTTTCATTTTCCTTTTTAATCGACATTCTAGTTATATATATATATATACATATACTAGTGTAATACCCGTGCATTGCACAATGATTTTTAGATATTATCACTGTAAAGTTGAAATGAGAAAAATTATACATAAAATGTCTCAAATTAATTCTATATGAAATGTGAATTATTAAAGTAAACCATATATGTAAAATTTGAAACACTATCAAAACCAAAATGTAAAAAGTTCGTAGAAATAGTTTTTCCAAATATAACACAAATATTCGGGTATTATTTGAAGGGAAAAAAAAACAAAGTTCATATATTCTGAAGTGCTTCCTTGTAGACAACATTCGTTGTGCTGCTGCCAAATTCTTCTTCTTTGTTGCAAATGAGAACTTTGAGACCCTTTATGGACTTTATCCGGGAAAAGGCAACATAGAGCTGACCGTGTGTGAAGACTGGACGACTAAAAACAAACCCACATTCGAGAGCGACTGTCCGTGACTCTTGTTTATCGTCATAGTAAAATAGACGACCACTGGAAACTGTGTGCGGTTAAGCTTAACTGGCATTCTTTCGTCAGAGAGACTAATGTCCATACGTGGAATGAAACATTTCCTACCAATATTTGCTCCGGATGTAATTGTAGCCCGAATGACACGTTCTCCCAACTCATTAACTTGTACTCTGGTACCATAGCACAATCCTCCTAGCCGATCTAGATTTCAAAGAAGCATGATCGGCACACCGACTTTGAACGTTATTTTGTGGTTGGTCATCCCAAAACATCTTATTGAATTGAGGAAGTCAATGGTGTAATTGGCATCATCATCAGGATTTAATGACTTTGAGATTTCTTCGATGCTATCTAAATTGTAGTATACTTTCGCTTCTCCAGTAAGCACTGACAACATATATTCATTGATAGCATCAACATCATTATTGGTCGGGGCTAAAATAGCCCTTTCATTAAAGAAGTTTGGGACCTTCAGATTAGACAGTATGTTCGTGTAAATAGTATCACGAACAGAAAGTATAGGTCTCTCTGTTGGTTTGATGAGGAGGTCTTCTGAGATATTGATGTCAACTTTCCCGTCATTAGGAGCACCAGCGGTTGCTTCATCGATCTTGAGTAACCAATAAGAATACTCTATTATTTCATCTGATGATTCAGAATTAGCACAAGGTCTATGCATCATATATTCTTTGACCTACTCGTGTAATTCTAGATCCCAATATTTATCTAAAATTTCTGCGAAAATGATACCATCAACATCTTTAGGTTTCACAACCTTGTCATCCGGATGAATCCAAAACAAACAATGTGTATGCGGGAGTCCTCTCTTTTGAAATTCAACCGTGTATACAACTGGACAAGACAAACAGAAAGGGACAATAATCATAATTTGACATCTTGAACACGTGAAAAATATTTGATGAAAAATATATTAAGATCGTTAATCGTGGATAACTTTTATAGATTGATTATTTTTTAGATGTATAATAATGTAACTAATTTCAGGATACGTTCAATTTTGTTTTATAGCATTCGATTATTAAAAATAAAAAATATTTTCATGTTTATGGTTTACATTCAAAATTTAAATTATTTTTCACTAACTGATAGGAATTTTTTTTGTACTCAAATTAATATGTTGTAGTAAAAATTTTCTAAAGTCATATTGTTGGACCCATACAATTTTATTACATTTAAGGGATTATGATTTGTTAATAAATTCATTTTTACTATTTCCTCTATCCCACGAAGCTAAATCATATTGAGTTTGAGATTTATTCTATTTTTAGTACAAAACTCAAAATTCGATGTGGAGTATTGTTCTGGGATAGGGGGAGTATTATAGACAAAGTAATAATTTTTAATTTATTTTTTTATTTGTATTACATAATAACAAATACCTAATTTTCTTATATTTTGAGACGACAATAAAATTTTTGAATGTACTGAGAAAATCCGTTAGTGAAATTTTCTTAGATATAAATTTCAAGAAAAACCATAACTTTTATTTTTCGTTCTCGATCATTGTTAATATATTATTTTGATGGGACTCATTTATATGCATGGATTTAAATATTTTTTATTATATTATTATTTTATCGATGATTTTTGTACCCAAAAGAAATTATATTATAGATTTTATTAATTTTATAGAGCATTATTTTAGATAATTTTTACGGTATATTTCTTTGTCCCGAAATGATTGTCCCTCCGAACTGGATAACACTCAATGACGGCTAATTCTAGCTTTATAGAATTTATATGTTTTATCTTTTTTAAAAAATTATTTTAAGACGGAGGAAGTATATATTAGTTTAACAGGAGAGATTATTACGAATGATCTTTAATATATGTTTTTTATAAGTTAGTATTGGGTCACTGGTTCAAAATGTTTGAACTGCTTTAAAAAATTGAATGACATCATTATGACATAATAAATGGTTTAAATATTTGTAATAACATAATAAATGAAATATTTAAAAATTTGGTTGTCAATTGGATATTAAGTTAAATGTTTCAGTCATTTTATTCCTAATACATCCAAGGCCTACGCCAACTCCCCCGCGTTTGGTAGCCAGTACCGGGACTCAAGGCAAGGGTCACATTTGAGGGAGTAGAACTTGATAATAGGGATTCTAGCAAAGTTAGTGAATCTAAGGGTGTGTCAAAAAGCATGCAGAAAGCACTTGCATCTCAATGACTAAATATTCACTGCATTTAGTTTGCTGAAGCTTTCTGTATGGCATTTCATTTTTGCTGTATATGATTGCATTTTAATCGTAAATGTGTTTATGATAAAAAATATATATATATACTTGTATCCAGTGAATAGAAATTATTTTGTATGTGCACTCGTGGTCTTATTCTTGACCGTATCTGCCAATCCTCATCACAGATTCAATTGAATTCAATCGCCGGTGGACGCGCAGGTGGAGGTGGTGGTGGAGCTCAGGGAAAATATTTTTGGGTTCAGAATGACTTTGAAAGATATTCGGGAGAATGATGCACTTGTAAAAAGGTAAATTAGGTTGGGAGAATGATGCACCTGCTCCAATTACTCAGGCTTTGTCGAAGATGATGTTTTACCGCATAGAACAAACGATGAAGATGATTCAGTGGGTTACTTAGGCTTTGTTAGTTTTGTTTTTTAATGGTTTTTTTATAATATTAAAATAATAACTATCCCATTCCAACATATCTTTTTACATTTCCAATACAACTTTTTATATTCCTAATACAAAAAACACCTAAAAACACACACTAAAAAAACAAAACAAACATACCCTTAGTCACTTAAAATAAGAAATTACATAATTCAAAATATAATTCATGATAAATTTATAAAGTAACAATTTTACTAATATATTATAACTGTTTAATGAATGATCAATTATTAAATGACATGTGTAATTAAATCAATGGGAGCGCAATTGATAGGCATGTCATCACCCCATCTACTTTCCTTTAATATATATATATATATATATATATATATTTAAATGAGAAATTCTCTACGAAATAAATTTTTTACATATAGGCGATTTTGGAATATACGTTTTTTTGGAATAATTTGTAGCATCGAATCCATTTCTTATATATTCTTAGAATCATTACTATACCCTTCATTTACATTCATCAATTTATCGTGCTATGATATTTCCACAAAATATCATATTGTGGAAATTGTCCGATCTATCCAAAAGTTTACATGTGTTGTTAATTTTACCCTATTCTTTTTCGATTACCTGATATTACCCTAAACTATCAAACCGTTAGCCGATTTTGTCCAATTTACCAATTTCCATTTAAATTAACGGAATTATGTTAGTTTTGATTATAAAAATATCCTAATAGTTTAAAAAATTATAAAAATGACTTCAAAAATTTGTAAAAATAACAAAAAAGTCTGTTTTCACTTTTTATTTAATTTTTTCTATTTTTTATTTCTTCTTCATAACTATAAAAATATACTATATGATCTTTTAAAAAAAATTATTTTAAAACTCTAATGTAAAAATTTATAATTACATATTTGTAAGTCATGTTTGATTTACATAAACATATTAATTTTTTATTAATATGGTTTAATAGTAATGATATTATTTTTTTAATCTTTTTTTTTTCAATCTAAAGAATAAGATTATTTAATTAAAACTGATTTTGCACAAAAAAATATTTAGCATAGATTAAAAAAGAATTTATTGGTTTACTTTAACGATTAATGCATTACAAATTTAACAGACTTTAGATTGCATTATAAAATTAAAAAAAATACAACTAAAATATAAATTTTCTTTTAAAGACCAAGTACAAACAGAAAGTAAAAAAAAAAAACTCCTATTTTGTTTCTACATTTGGCTCAACACAATAATATAGTGTCGTCACATTTACAAAAATGGTACAAAATATTTTATAAAAAATATGTATATTTATCACTGCGAGAGTTTAACATTTTGCAATATTTTTTTGAGATATTAATATATTTAACTTTAGCAGGAGTAAAAAAAAATCTACTCAAATACTGAACTCAACCTTTCAAAAAAAAAAAAGTTAGATTGCCCCAGTGAGAATCGAGACCTCGAACACAGTAATAATCATCTCACATCTAAAATCACCTGACCGTCCAACTCAACCCTCTCACAAATTGGACAAAATTGACTAATGGTAGGATAGATTAGGGTAATATCAGCTAACCGAAAAAGAATAGGGTAAAATTGACATCGCATGTAAAGTTTTGGGTAGATCGACCAATTTTTCTGATATTTTGTTGTCTTAAACAAATCTTTAAAATTAAAAGAACTTAATATTAAACAAAAGGACAATGTTATAACAAAAATGTTGTTGATTCAAAAGGTACATGCCAATCTGATATTAAAAAAGTTTGAGAACTTTATCTTATTTTGAGAGGAAAAGAAGTATTTGTATGCAGTAAGTGACACTGTAATTACTTGATGATTACTATTTCAGATAATGGCTCTCCAAAGCTACCACAACAATGTCCATTTTGGACGCAACATTCCTTCCTGAAATAGTCACAACACCCATCAGACTGACCTGTTGTTGGAGCTGAATTTTTCGAAATATATGTCTGCACAGTATCAAGCTTTTTAGGGTTCTCTTCAAGATCATCACCAGGCACATTGATTGAGCCTAAGCAATTGAATTCTCCGGGGTCGGAGCACTTGGCCTTTTGGCTATATTTTCCATTTCCACAGCAGCCAAGCCTTTCAAAGGAGCTTGATCTTTGTGCATTTCCACATTCTTTGCCACAGCAGCCATCTCCAGGCATGTTGATAGAGTTCGAACAATTCACTTCTCCAGAAGGATTTTGTTTTCGATTTTTGCAGCAGCCCTGCTTCTCATTGGAGCCTGGTCTTTGGTTGCCTCCACAGTTTTGGCCAAGTGATATAGTATCCCCAGATATGTTGATTGAGTTTGAGTCATTATTGGCATCACCTGGATTGGAACATTTCTCCTTTTGTCTTGGTTTTCGATTTCCACAACAGGTTTCCTTCTCCTCGCTGGAGTTTGATCCTTGGTAAATTCCACATTCTTTCGTAAGTGATACATTCTCACCAGACATATTGAGCGATTTGCAACATTTGAAGACTCCACCAGAATTGGAGCAATTTACTGTTCCACTTTCCTTTCCATTTTGACAGCAGCTCGCCTTCCCAGTCTCTAAATCTCTATCGTCATTTCCAACTCTGATGGACACCGATGCACCTGAATACTGTGCTGGAACACTGTTTTTGAAGGAGCATATCAGCGGCTCGCGCAGGGGGTCTATCTCACCGCAACAAGGCTTCTTACCTTGCCATGACTCACGTCCTGAACATTTATTGTATGCCTTTTCGACACGCGATGAGGCAGCAGATTTGCAGTACTCCATAGGACCTTTTGTAGTTTCTCTTAGAAGGATCATGCTGTTAAAGATCACTAACAAGCACGTCCCGGCATCAGCTAAGACTGCGGCCCAAACAACTGGATGACCTGCTACAGCCAGAGCTATTACTGAACCTTTAGCTGCAACTGAAAGAACCATGTTTTCAAGAATTTTCCTCCGCACTCTTCGTGCCAGGCGTGCGACTTTTGGTATCCTTTGAATGTCGTTCGTCATAAGGATCACATCACCTGTTTCTGTAGCCAGAGCAGAACCTGAAATCCCCATTGAGATACCAACATCGGCTGTAGCTAACGCGAGAGAGTCATTGATCCCGTCACCAATCATGGCTGTTCTAGCTATCCTCTGGAAACCTTTTACAAATGTAGCCTTGTCTTCCGGCAAGAGATCTGAATGGACAACTTCCAGAGCACCTCCTAACTGCAGCGCAACATTTTCAATCTTAAATATGCACAAAGAACTGAAATAAGCTTCACATTACACACAAAGGGACAGTTCGAGTTCAACAATGCCATTTATTGACCAATTCTACAATTAAAATAGTATTCTGTTCTTTTCAACATAACAAAGAAATATGCATCCTGATAGGTTGAAGTAACTACTAAGGTTTAGGTAACTCTGGATCAGTTCTCAAACCCACATCCAAAGCATCGGTTTCTTGCATTTGAAAAGTGAATTGTTTATTAGAAGTTTCTAATTAGATGCAATGTCAACACACATTATCAGAACTCCAACCAACCAGCCTCTGAGAGGATCATTTTACGTGTTACCTGATCCTCCGTGTGCTTAGCTGCAGCATGGCAATCTCCTGTAAGCATGACCGTTTTGATGCCCATAGATTTCAGCTCTTTTAGTGCTTCCTTTGCTCCAGTTCGACAAACGTCAGCAAGACAGAAAACTCCAACAGGAGTTGACCCCAAGAATACATAGCCCACGGACTTGCCTTCGTACATATCTCCTTCAAGTTTTGGAACTGAAAGTAAAAAAATGAATTCAAGTAATTCTCAATTTTGTTTCATCAGAACATCTTTAGGCTATAAAACAACAATGTCGCCCCACAATACATAAGTGTTCTAGATGCACACCTTGAGCTTTGACATTTAGGAAATTTACCTGATTTGCATCCTGCTCTAGCTGAGATTTTCCAGTTTCCAATGTAGATTTCATTACCGCCAATTCTACCATAGATTCCTTCACCAGGAAAGTTCTGATATTTCTTAACTTCATCAGGTTTTGGCTGAACTGATTGTGATTGAGCATAATCAACTAATGCAGCTGCAATGGGATGACTTGACTTGCTTTGAATACTAGAAACCCTGGAGATGCCATGGAGAAATTTGATTCCACCGAATGAACAAACAACAGATGGAGATGAGTTAAACTCAAACAAATTAGCTTATAAGCATATCCATTTCTAACCAAAAGTTTTGAACCCTTACTTCTCCTGTACTCAAAAATATCCTAGGAATTAAGTGGCCTTATGCTAGATGCAGACATAAGTTATCAAGGGGAACTGAAATGAAAAGCTTTACCAGTAAAGCAAGGTGTTCAAGGTGATATCCTCCGATAATGATCTGAATTCTATAACTTCAAATTCTGCTCTGGTGACTGTTCCGGTTTTGTCAAAAGCCATGATTTTTACTTTAGCGAGGGTTTCCAGACAATCGGCCCCTTTGAAGAAGACACCATGCTTCGCGGCCTTTGTAAGGGCACAGAACATGGCAATAGGAGTAGAGAGGACCAGTGCGCACGGGCATGCACTCACTAGAACAACTAAAGCTATGTGGAACCACTGTTTTTGATTGCGTAATTTTAGTGCAGCCGGAAATATTGCCAATGAAGCTGATATCAATATAATCACTGCAATAGATATGAAACTATTCCTTAGCTAGATCAGCAAGTAATGAAAATAAAGGATCATTTACATTGTACAGTATCATAGGATGAGGCATATTGTCATGAACAGATACAGTAATCAATGTTTAACATGAAGCAAAATGCATAAACAAAATGCACGCAGCTTGGTTTTTCAGAAATAATCATGAATAGCAAGCATGATCAATTATTCACTACGAATCAAAAACACATCCAACTTCTAATATTTTCTTTTTTAGCTTTAGAAAAAATTTCAAGTCCCTTATCTACAGTAAGCTTACTTTACAAATTACAATCAGTCACCTGGTGTGTAGTACTTGACACATTTGTCTATATATCTCTGGATTAGAGATTTTTTCCCATGAGCCTCTTCTACTAGCTTTGTCATTCTAGCAAGTGCGGAATCTTCAGCTAGTGTTGTAGTTCTAATAGCAATGTACCCTACAAAAAGAAAATAGAATTCAGGTTCCACCTCCAGAAACTTGATGTGGACAAACACAAATGACGAGAGAGGGATGAAGAGAAAAATACCATTTACATTTATGGTTCCAGCCCAAACCACAGAGCCTTCTTGTTTGGCAACTGGAAAGGGTTCTCCAGACAAGCTTTTCTCATCTACTTCACAATTGCCTTCAAGAACAACTCCATCAACCGGTACTCTCTCACCTTCCTTGACGGAAAGAACGGTATTCACCTGGACTTCACTAACATCAACCTCTTCACCGGTTTCAGCTAAGACAGCTCTTTGTGGCAGTAAATTGACTAGTGATGACATAGCATCAGTTGCCTACAGAGTTGACCAAAGTTATTAAAAAATTGTGGAGTTGCAAAATTGTATTACTAATAAACTGAAATGACAAATGGTCATCCCCAAAGTTATCACAAAATTGTGAAAGTTGGGTAACCAAAGCCTACCAAATACAGATTCATTTTTTTCCATAGAGATTTAAAGCCCAAACAGTTTAGCAGATCATATCAATAGCACCAGAGAGTTTACGTTTTCGAACAAGTTGTTCAATCAAAGAACAATCATTAACTAAAACAAATACTTTTCACCCTTTGCCAACATTGAACATCCCTGAAAACTACAGATACAGGTACACAACATTCACTAGAAAACATGTGAAAAACAGAAAATCGAGATCGATTGAAGAGTAAAGATGAGAATTGCATTTCTCTGGCACAAACCTCATGACTCGCTAGCGATTCTAACCATTCAGCTATGGTAAATAAGAAGACAATAGCACCAGCTTCCAAATAATCATGCAGAGCAATTGATCCCGCAGCTGCCAATAATTAAAAAATAAAAAAAACACAGTATGAATCATTCATTGCAACATTATAAATCACCAAACAGTTGAAACATTTCGTACTCTATTAGTCCAAACTCACAAGTAACAGAAATTTAAGAGCTTGTATCAAATCACCGCACAAGGGAAACACAACACAAGCAAACTACAGCAATAGAGCATCTAACTTTCAAAAAAAGCCAAAAATTAATAATTTGTGCTATGAAAATCATAGAGTCACCTGCTATGAGAACAAGAATATGGATATTCCCAAAGGTGAGGTGACGAACAGCAGTCCAAGCTCTTAAAGCTATAGGAAAAATAACCAGACCAACTGCTATTAAGGCAAGCCATTGAAGTGGGAGGTAGAAATACTTGAGAAACGACAGCAGCAGAAATAAACCCGACGCAATTGCATACGGATTAGGCCTTCTCTTCTGGGTACTTTTTGCCCTTTCTCCTCTCACACTTGCTTCCAATTTTGCCTTATTCAATGCTCCGACTTCATCCATCATCGGTCAAGAACAGAACACAAAACCCCAAAAGTCAGTGAACGAAATTATGAAACCACCAAATTAAAAGGGATGAATTGAAAAGAGGAAAAGGGATGAATTTCAATTGAATCACCGATTAGGGATTGAGGAACGAGGCAGGGATCATGAAGGACGATGACGGTTTTGGTGGGAACGTTGACTTTGATATCTTTGATTCCATGGAGAGGTTTCAGAACACTCTGAATCAGTGGGATTTCAGAGGAACAACAAATTCCCAACACATCAAAGTAGCTCTTCTGCAACTCAATTCCACTCTCTTTCTCGGTTTGCCGAAAATCCGCCATGGCTTTTTTTTTTTCTTTCCTTCGTCAAAGGTTTCTGCAAAGAAACAGGGGTAAACCATATATGGAAAACCCAATGTTGGAGGCTAAGTTTACTTTCTGATAAATTTAAACATGAATCTTTATTCTTTAGAATTAAAAAATTACTTGCAATATTTTTAATTGCTGAAAATTTCAGTAGTGCATCAGCAACGTTTGACTTTGAGCGAGAAATGGGCTAAGAAAAATAGTACTCCCTTCATTCCAAGCACAAAGTTTAAGAACACAATAAATATTTGGTTAAAATACTAATCTACCCTCATTTAATTCTAATATACTTCTACTTTAAACATAATTACAATTTCCCATGTAAGGGTAATGTTGGAAGAAATTGACAAAACATGCCTCGAAATGCAAAAACGATATATATTTTGAAAAAATTGAGTTTTCCTCCAACGAAATCTATTTTGGAACGAGGAAGTAGTATTAAAATTGTGGTATGATTTTTAAATTGAATCAAAATAGAAAGGCTTTTGTGGACAATTATGACAAAATCATTGGGTTGGGCTTGAGAAGAAAGGACGTAGCCACTGTTCTTACGCATTTTGTTCGTGGACACACTCATGAATACGTACAGAGTGGTAAAATCAAAGGAATGTGTAAAAATGGTAATTTTTACTCCTCTGTTAATTTTGCGTTTGCTCAAGAATTTTTCCTGTAATATTTTTGATATTTTCTTTTATGCATTTTTATTTCCTTTTGATTTCTAGCGAGTAGTGAAACTTAGATCAGAGTCCCAAATAGAGTCATGCAATGGTGGAAAATGTTGGGGAGATTTTATCCAGTTAGACTTGTAGAGTCTCTAATTTTCAGGAAAAAATGATTTTGTTTATTCTGGAGTTTTAATTTTAATATAATTTGATCTAAAAGTAAAAAATTTAATTTACATAATACTCCCTCCGGTCCTTATTATAAGGTATTTTGATTTCGTCTTAGATTTAATCTAAGATGCCTTTTTAATTGAAATAAAAATCTTAAAAATATTTTATAATAATTTATAAAACACAACTAATGTGAAAATATATTTTTAAGGTTCTTTTTCTAATTAAAAAAGACATATTAGATTAAACCTAAGACGAAATCAAAATGCCTTATAATAAGGACTGGAGGGAGTTAATTAGGACATGAAAAGCACATATCAATATCTCAGTCTCGAAATAATTATTTGGTTTAAATTGAAAGTATGTTATTCATTATCTTCAAAACTCAGTTTATTTCCATCAATGAATTCAACCAATGTTGTTTTAGACCAGACCCTTCATCATATGAACATTTGGCGCGAATTTTTTATGCAAAGTCTCGTTCATATTCATAAGTCACAATTAATGGGGGTTAATGGCAATTGCTATAATGTAAAATAAAATACCATATCGAAAAATGAAGAAAGAAAGAAAATTTCACGATCGTTTTTGTCTTCCACAAAACCAATTCACTTTTTTGATGAATTAATTTTATTGAATTAATTTTATTGAACAAAATAAACTCTCTCTCTCTCTCTCTCTCTCGGGTAACAGAAGCAGTATATGATAAAAGAAAGATTAAAAAGTCACCATGTAATTAACTACCTAATCAGTTTAGGTAGCTGCATTCGAAGGGGGTAAATGAAGAATGTTGGTTCCTCAACTCTGGCGGTTTGTTCGATTGGATTTCATCACCACTAGATCTTGTTCTTGCTTAAATTAACCTCGATATATATAGTTGAGGGTATTTAAATTGCGCTATATAATTTTTTTTATTTATTTCCAGTGAAAAAATAAATGAAAATTAAAAGATGTTTCCTCCACGAAATGAGCTTCGAGCTCCCCAAACCAAATGAACAATCAATATAATTATACGCGGGTCTCGTACTTAATTTATACTTGAAATTTTCTTAAATAATACTCCCTCCGTCCCATAATTATTGTCCAGATTAAGTTTTCAATTTTAGTTCAAATTGTATTAAAAATGAAATCTCAAACTAGACAATAAATTTGGGACAAAGGGAGTATTTGTTGTCTTACGTTATCAGGATGAAGGTATGTCTAGGATCAAAATGGCTGTTTAATGAGCGACAATGTGGATCGGAGGGTACTACTTTAATTATGTCCGAGTGGAATAATCCATTATGCTTAATTAAAATAATATGACAAGATAAATTATTTTCCTAGGACAAAGTAAATATTTTTTTTCTTTGGTTACAGTTATTGAGGATACCCTCAAAAAAAAAAAAAAAAGAATAGAGGAAACCTTCTGGATTCGCCAATGTTTTCAATGAGTTATGATGGAGATTAGTAATGTTTAGAGGTTGGCTAACCCTCCTACGAATTCTTCAGCTTGCTTTCACTTTCCGAGGAAAATGCCAATGAATAACTTTGCACGAAGCTTAATTCCAAGTGGTTTTCGACATTATTGAAAGGTTTTCTTTTTCTATTTATAGACGTCTTGATTTATTTATCAATAAATAAGCACCCTGATTACCATTATGTTATTGCCTTTTCACTCGATTGTTGAACGTTAATGTAGTATTTCTACCCATTATTTTTGTATATAATATCAATGTTGATACTTAATAGCTGAATTTCATCAGATTAGATATGCAAAGTAAAGATGAATATCATTCATAGAAAGTAGGAAATTTTACATATACAATTAATTGTATTCATCAGGGTACCTGCTTATTATTATTATTATCCTTAAGAATTGCGAGAAATGTTTAATCTCAAGACGTCTCTATATCTGCTAGTTAACCAAAATTATGATTTCACAAATGCACTCAAGAAAAGGTAGAGAGAAAAACAAAATCAGAAATGTAAAGAGAGTAGATTGTTTTCAAATATTGAAAGGTAAAACAGCGAGCTAGTAATTAATTAGAAAATCATGAAAGATGAGAAAAAGAAATATATATAAATGGTGCTAATAATATACACCACAAAGCATGCATGCTCAAGAGAAGTTGACGTATGAACAAGCCTATGGCCCCAGCCCAGAGGCATCATCCATCTTATTATGATATATATATCAGTAATTAGACCATTCATTCTTATAGAATTCCGTACTCCATGTTGATCTTTTTCCTCCCGAAATTCCAATTGGAAAATATTTTTGGAAGCTTTTAGACCTAACCCTTGTCTCATCTTTGGAAATTCAGTTAAATTTGTCAATTCCATCATAACTTCTCATCTTCTGGAGCCTGGACGGACCAATAACATTTCGCTAAATATTTGTCCATTGTTGTGTCAATTAATGAACATTGCCAACACTAAGTTGTGTTTGTAGTACCACTTATCTCCTATACATAGTACAACAAATTAATTAATTGCTTGACCATTAATTGTTCATGTGTTTGTTCACAGATTCACGTTTCTCTCTGAGTCACTAAATGTTACTATATTCATTAGTTATCGAGACAGCGATAATTAACCCCACTTTTGTTCCTAAACATTGTGACGGATCAAGCGAAGTCAATCTTTCTTCATAAGCTTCTTCAGTAGCTCACTACTATTACTATATGAGAGAGACTGAATTTCTTAAGTGAAATGACATAAAAACTGATACGACAAAGAGAGATAAAGGCCTGGTCAAGAATTACAATAATATTTATTAAAATTCATAACAGATAAATAAAAAGTATTTAATCAATGATTTTGTTTGTGCATATATGTATTACACACCATCTTTAAGTTGATTGATCAATTTACAGTGCTTTCTAGTTTTCTTCCAGTCGTTACTACTACTTTTAAGTTTTTGTTGAGATAACTTCTCGAGTTTACCACATTAATCGAATAACAGTCATCAAGCCACTCGGAAACATGCATATAACTGCAAAGTTTTTAAGTAAATATGTTCCTCCTTTTTCTTTGACAGGAAAAAAAAAAAGAAGAAAAAGGAATAATTTTGGTCCGTAACAAACCAGATAGTTTATTAGAACCTACCCACAAAAAAAAAAAAAATGAAAATAGGGAAATTACGTTGTATTAATCATAGAAAACTTGATGAACTTGCTATTTTGAACTTGATCAAACATAAATTTTCATCTTTCCCCAAAACTGATTATCAGATAGTCATATGGCTCTATCCCATTGGATATCATATATTCATGTTATCCTCTTTAACTATATCCTATCATTTGATACTTAGTGGGATGGAAAGTTTCTACTTTAAGCCCTATCTCATTAAAATATTTGAGCTTCCTTCAAAGTAATTCCTTTACTCACTTTTTCAATCAGCACAGCAAAAATCAATATCTTCGCAGAAAGAAATGGGGTTAAATTCTATGCATGGTTTCTTCACAAACATTTAATTTTTGTTCTTGAAGAAAATTTTGCAAAATTAAATGTTAAAAAAAGGAGACGAATTTGGAATAATTAATTAAGCAAATATGAACCGATGATGACAAACTTCATCACAAAGTTATTAACACAAATTAAGGACCACTTTGACATGATGAGGGGTTTTCAAGAGAGATTTACTGAGAATTCGACACACACTGAAATCAAAATCATCTCCCTAACTCCCTTATAAACTGAAACTGATTACTAAACTCTTGATTTGAAACCTTTGAAATCATCAACCTTCTTGAAGAGACGACGTCACAACTTGATCAAACCCTAAACTTACACGACTAATATTACTTAAGGACAGAATTACTAGGCCATAGTAGATTACTACTAATAACAATAGTGCAAAAAAACCATGCATTAATTCATAGTACTAGAGCTCTTTCTTCCATCTTTCTTGCTTAATAAGGAGAGATCCCAACATTTGCAGGAGCCAGAAATCCATCTTTCATCAGCACATCCTCAGCTCCTTCCTAAACCACAAAAAGAAAAAGAAGAGGAAGACAAAGGAAGATCTTAATCGTATCTAATTTAGTCAAACTCTCTTTTTTTTTTTTCTTATTCTGCAAAAGGAATTGAGATTTTGTATGCTAATGCGCGATTATCTATGCAACTTGAAGAATAGAGATATTTTGGAAGTGTCAAAAGATAAAAACTGTTTCAATGCATGCAAAGCACTGCAAAAAAGAAGTTTGTAATTAAAGAAAATTCCAAATTAGGGTTTTCATGTGCTTTGGGTGATCACCTGTTGACACACATTGGATTTCTTCACGGGTTGATCAGGCATCAGTCCGAAGTGAATGTGTGGGAAGTGGGCCCACTGAGGAACAAAACAAAAATGAACCCACAAATCAGACACCATTTATTCCACACAACACAAGAAAAAAAGAAATGAAGAACTCAAAACCATGGAAAACCCTATGGAGCTAGCTATACGTGTAGTATATGACAATAATAATATTGTTGTTTCCCACTTTCTCTTTTTTCGAATTCTTGGATCTTACATTTTTTGCTGCAGCGCTGAAGGCCTCCCTGTGGCTTATATCAGGGTTTCCAGCTTTGATACGTTGGATCTCGTCCCTGCATTTTCATTTAATGAAATCTTTATCAGCCTATAGCCCCCTCTCAATCTAATTCATCTGTCATGCTTTAGTTTTCAACATTCTCATGCACTTAATATATATATATATATGTATAATTTCTTTGTTCATTAACAAGTTAGGCAAAATCCTTATTCAAATTTCAAAAGTTTCAGCTATCCTTTTTGATGATCTTAAATGCTACAATCAAGCTAGACCACGAGGGGAAAAAAGGACAATATCCACAATGTAATAGTACTCCTCCATATACGTTAGAAAACAATACTGTTCTCTCGTTAAACTGTTTTAGTTCAATAAAACAGAAGTATCGTTCTATAAAACAAAGTGCATTTTGTAGGGTGAAAGTGGGGTTTGTGCTCATGAATGATATAACATTCTTGGTATTTAATGGGCTATAGTAGTAAATAACTTACTTGATGAACCGGTTGTAAGCAGATGGCACTCTCTGTCGCTTCTCCGGGGCTGGAAAAGAAAAAAATTTAAAAGTACACAAAGACAAGAACAAACAAAGACAAATTAACTAAAGATAGTGTTGAAATGAAGTCTATTGACTTTATCTCTGTGGAGCTACATTCTGCTTTCCATTCATTTATCATCATTTCTCTCTCATTCATCAGGGCAGGAAAGGTCAGGCTTTGAAGAGAAAAGGGTGGGGGCCGTATTCATCATATTTCTCTCTCTCCAAAAAATTTATCATCATTATCTAATGATCGATCTCCTCCTATATCCCATCTTTTCATAAATCCTTTGTTGGATTCTATACTGTTCCAGAACCTCGTCTAGATTTCCGGGAGAGAAAAAAAAGTTTCTTTCTTTATTTATTATACGCACAGCAGGTCTATAAATACAACCCTACATTTATTTACTTTTTTTAAAAAAAAATAAAATAAAATAAAAACTTCACATGGTCCCTTCTTATGCCATGAAGAAATGGTATCTCCACTGACAATAAAGGGTTTCTTTTCTTTTGTGATTTCTTTTTTCCCTTCTCATTTGAGTTGAAGGAATTCAAATTAAACTCAAAGTTGAAGCAACTATTGTTGAATAATGCACCGCTTTGAGCAAATGGTAGCAAGTTTCAGACTTGGCTTTCTTCAGGGATTAAGTACTAATGGAATGGAATGGAGAAAAAGAAGGAAACATGAGAAAAGATGGTGAATAGATCTTTCCTTTCTGGGAGTAGACAACAACAAGTGTACACAACTGTTATCTAGTAAACGTTTTCATTAAACTTGTTGAAACGTAAGGTTAGCTAATAAAGTGAAAAGATAGTAGCATTCTTTCTTTTTGGGCTAAAAAACCTACTGTTTACAAGAAGCAATGGTTGACAAACAGCTTCAAAAAAAAAAGTGACAACATTGTACTTGATAATGAATAACTCTCTCTAATCCTCAAGAAAGAAAAAAAAAAGACTCAAAAAGGGTTTTCTTGCAATAGATGAATACATAGGATGAGTTAATGTGATAGTAATGAATCTTACGTCTGTTAGCAACAGGTGGTTTAGGAAGGTCATCAACTCGAACCGGCAGGAGGGATTCATGATTTGGGTTTGCCTGATTCATCAGCAAATTGGAAGGTGCATTCCTCAGTTCCTCCTGCAGGAATTATGAATACCAAAAACAAGAAAGAAAGAAAGAAAAAATCAAAATAGATCACAACTTATTGTTATGCTTCTATCTTGCTTCCACAAGTAAGGATAAACAAATCAAGAAGAAAAGTGGATCTTCAAGATTCAGAATGTTAGAATCAATCAAAACCCTAAATTAAAAAAAAAAAACAAACAACCCTAAAGGAAAAACACAAAGAAAGGATGAAGAATTACCAGGAGATTGTGAGGAGAAAAGAAAGAGTGACCAAGATGAAGCTGATTAGGGGAGGGAAGGAGGAGAGCCCTCAAGTTGACAGACAGAAGGTTGGTGCAATGCCCACATCGAACAGTTACCATCTTGAACAAACTTGTGCAAGGAACACTCACCTAATTTCCATTATCATCATCATCATCATCATCATCATTCACACAAAGCGAAGAGAAAAAAAGCAAAGAAAGGGAAAAAAAAAAAAAGTACTCATGATAGGATTATCTAAACAAATAAGCTTAAAAAAGGGATGTGATTCAGAGACAAATAATCAATAATTGACACAAAAGATTGTCAAAAGAAAGAAAGAAAGAAGAAAAAGAAATGATTTTGCTTTGGAGACATAAGACAGAAGAAGAAGAAGAAGAAGGAAGAGATAATAGTGGTAGGAATACCGCGAGGACAGTGTCACAGAAGTTGCAATGGACGTAACAGAGCTGCTCCGTAGTGGGAGCAAGGCTGTGGTGGTGGTGGTCCGGTGCAAAAGCAGATGAAGACGACATTTTTTTCTTTTTCTGCTAAGCTTTTTTCTTTCTTCTGATAAAGTGAGAGAGGAAAATGTGTGTGTTTTTTGTTTGCTAAGGGTTTTTTTGATTTGATTGATCGATAGATTGACTGATCGAAGGCAAAGGATGTATGGGATGGGAAGGTTGGGTGGGGGGAATTCCTCTTCTTCTCTTTATATATATTAATATATGGGGGGAGGTTTTGGATTGATGAACTGATTATTAACCGCCTTGGATCTGATCCTCTCTGCTCAATGTTTTTTTTTTTTCTTTCTTGCTTTGAGAGTTATGAAAGACAAAGAAGAAGCTGGATGCTCTCTGTGTGACTGTGAGAGAGAAAGAAAGAAAGAGGGGCCGACCCAACCTACTGTATTTCTTCTGTTTTTATAACACAAAAGAAAACCCCCCCATCCCTCATCTCCCTCTCCCCCAAGCCATTTGTTAATAATAATTCGAGAATTAATGTAGAGCATTTTTAACCATAGTTCCGAGTGTTGTTTGAACTTCGTTATAGGAAAAGAATAATCTTTTAAATTCTTTGGCCAACTATTTCATCTATCGAAGCACCTACATCTAAACAGAGGAGATTAGCCACTTCTATTGGTGGTTAATTAAAAAAAATGAATGTAGAAAATGAAATTGCATGAGGTAGATATTACAAAGTATAAGGTATGCAAGGACAACGGTTTGATTCCTTGATTTTTTTATTTTTTATTTTATATTTTTTTGTATTAGGATGAAATATTAAGTTTAAAAAACTGTTTAAAGATGTATCTTAAGTGTAAAATGTTACAAAAGAGGTGTCTTGAACATATCTATAATATAATAATGTCACAGTGAATATAATATGTCTCGATATTTAGATTAAAAAACTTTTTTTTAGTTTGAGTTTTGTTCTCATTAGCCCTAAAATCATTAATGTTATGTTTGAACTCGATTCTCTATTAATTATTTAATTTTATGAAATGATTCGCTACTACATATTTCTTAATTTCTTCTTCTTCTTCTTCTTCATCTTTTTCCTCTTAGAGGTCTTTACGTACTCTTGTACGTATTTTATTTTACTTAGAAGTCTTCTACTCAATTGCTTACACATTTATACCCTACCCTTTGCCTATCATGTGATTGGTTTAGCTAAACATAACCTTCTTTCCAATTTTACACTTTCCTACATTTGATTAAGGAATTAAGGATCTTAAACTTGTGCTCATCAGAAAACGCAAGTTGAGGCTATAGGAACCATATGTTGACTGTCGTTTATATATGTATGCAGAGTAGCTCAAATAGACCGCTGGCTGGCCGACCGACCTTTTTCCCTTTTCGTAAACAATAACAAGACACAAAACAAAAGAAGCTTAGTACTGTTAAAGATCATTTACATAGGTTAAACCTAGATAACAAGACTTTCGTTAGATTCGTTTATTTGATCATGTGAGATATCTCATCGTTGACTTATGGTGTTGCTTTTTTGTTTTAATTTAATTTTATTTATTTAACATATTTTTTGGGGGTACAAAAACATATGGTTTAGATTTTGTGTTATTTTGTTTTTTTCGTGTCTCACACAGATGTGATAGATTTATGAGGTAGGATCCCTTTTCATTTTGGTTCATAAGTTAAAAGTGTTTGTTACTAATCTAGAAAAAGTATACAAGGTCCTCTTTTTAACTTCGAACTCTACAAATACGGTACTTTTGCAGGTTAAATAGATAAAGCTCTGAAATGGTGTTTCTTCACGATGAGGTTATAAACTGATTCTTTTTCTGTAATTTGGTATATTCGCTAATCCCATGTGAATTTTCGGGTGTTATTCTACAATTAATTGAGACAAAACTCTTCACTCTTCCATTTTGAATTGGATTTAAACCTTTGTTTGTATCTTCGCACTTCAACTTGCATAAATTTTCTTTCTTTTTTCTTTTATTTTCTTTTTAACAGGAACCACCTTAAGGTTTTCTAAGTAGTCAAAGACATAGCACTCGTAAACTAATCTCCAAATGGCGAAGGTGAATTTGTTTTTGTTTATTTATGAAGGTTTTTTTTTAAATAAAAAACTACTGTACCAATAATAAGTACGTACTCTTTCTATTCTAAAATAGATTCGCATGTTTATTGTACTATTATACTTATAAAAATTCAATTAACAAACTCTTATTTTGAAACGGACGGATCGATATTTTCCTCGTAAGATGCAATAAGAACGATGTCCAGATCCGAAGAGTAGTAGTAATATTATATACACATGTAGTGTACGTACGTACAAGTTGGTTGTACAAAATTGTTTGCTGTATGAGCCGTAGGTGGGAGCGAGATGGAGAGAGTGAAAGAGAGAGGAAATTGTATGGTTGGCATTCCCGATGGATGTGTGTGTGTGTGTGTTTTGTAATTTAGGTTTTGTAAATGAGGCGAGAGGGAAAGACGGGCAGGGCAGAGGCGGCAGAGGTGGGGGAAAGGAGCAAGAAAAGGACTTGTGCATGGGGCGATTAGCTTTCACTCCTTCACCTGTTGTTTTCAATACTTAAGAGGGCTGTGTCCTCTCTGCTTTAATTTTCTTTTCTTCTTCTTTTTAATTATTTCCAATCCACGCCTTTAAATAATTCTCTCTATAGATCATACACAGATTTTTGGATTTTCGATTTTTATCCATGCAAAAAGACTTTGTTTCTGATATAATTAATAATAACCCTAATAATTATTGATGGGATGTACTAATACTAAAGCCTTAAATGGCGGGCACCTATCCTCTGCACCTTACTATTATTACACCCTCCCTTTTGATATGTATGTGCTCAGAAGTCAAGTAGTTCTCTCTAGGTCCTTTCTGATCATCATCACTAACGTTACATATTTCATGTATTTTTCCCTGGTCCCCGACTTTGGTTTCAATGTGTTGAGATCGGTTATAATTAAACCGAATCACACCAATACAAATTAAACATTATAATAAGTAAGATTGTTTATTGGGTTATAATGTTTTCTAACGGGCGATTTTTTAGCATTATGTATTTATTACCGTAAGATCCCTTTTGAAATGCATGCAACTGATGCAAATTAATAACCCTGAACCAAAATGAATAACTGATGATGTAAATATGATATACGTTCTATATCTTAGGACCACAAGAGCTGAGAGAATCGGGGAGTGCAATTTTAACCGGAGCTTGGTTCGTAGGTTTGTATATTGACAGTTCGGGAACTTCTCATTCTAAACTCGAAAAGGTAATTTTAAGCTCTACTTGCCTGATTAGGAAATACGACCATATATATGTATATGCTCTAATTGCAACAAGTATTTAGTGTCCTGCAAATAAGTTAAACTTTTGCCTAAAGCATACACGTTTTACCCACGAAATATCTCCTCCAACAGTTTTTGTATTACATGTACTAAACAACAGTATAAATTTGAAAACGTAATCTTAATTATGTTTTCGGGATGGAGGTAATATTAAATTATATATATTTTGTCACTTATTTTTATCGCTACTGTTACTAGATTAGTAGTACGTATAACGTGTCACAAAAACCTTACTTGCATTTACATAAGTATATGTAATTGACCCTATACATTTTTCTTAGAGTAAAAAGTGATTCGTGTAATAAAAATACTTGGAAATTTGACGTGCTGTGTTTATCTACCTAAGTTGGAAATCATCCAAAGCCTCATTAAGTACTCCATTATATAGAACAATTAATAATTAAGTCAGTTAAACTCGATCGAAGATATTAATATTACAGCCATATATTATTATCGATGACAAATTATAAAAATTCTTATTGAAACTAACAGGATAAATTCATATCAAGGCTCATAAGAAAGTATAAAATATTAGCTTGTTCAGTCAATTGCATAGTATATTTTTGTTTTAGGAAATTTTACATCGGTAATATAATTTTTTCTTAAAAATATTTCTCTTAACCCTAGTTTTTGTTAGATTTCGCGATTATATTTTTTGTAATATGCATGCTTGCGCTTCAAAGAGTCGATTTCCAACCACAATTTTATTTCCTTGAACCAATTAGACAATTCTTGTACTGAATCTGATCTTAAAAGATGAGTGCTTAGGTTCAAATATGAGGTATCGAAAGAGGTAATTGGTTTTTTTTTTTTTAATAAAAAAAATAGAAACGCCATTCCTAGAACTTTGAGATACTAAAACTTAGTTATGAAGGCAGTACCATGATGGTCTAGCTCTCTATTTTAAAAAACCAATTTCATTTTCATAAGCTTGATATTATAAATTCATGAATATATCCGATTCAAATGAACATTAGTCTAAATATAATATGTATTTACTAAGTGCAACTTCTTAATTCCTGTTAACAAAAAAATATTTACAACCAATATTAATGTTGATAGACGAAAGGAGTATAGATAAACATCTATCACGACACCCTCGGCATCCAACAACTCACTCTCCCAATTCCCAAAACCAATAAATACTTATGGTTCAAAAAGAAACAAAAACCATTAATATTTTGCACAAGCATACAACATTTTCTCAAGAGAAATTTTTTTTTATTAAAATGTGGGGTTACTGCATATAGAATTGACCCCTCAAACTCTATGCATATTTTACAACAATACGCGTAGACAGAGAGACAGAAATACGTATTAGTCAGTGAAATCAGAAGGCAGATCTATTCAATATTTGCCCTTTTTAAAAATGTGTAATGTACAGCCAGCAGTTTTGTCCTAATTTACATATAATATTCCGCAACTCTACTGCCACTTTAGTAAACTAGCTAGCTTCCATGGTCAATGAGACTCAAATCTTCTTACATTCCATACACAAATCACATTAAAAAAAAAACCAAAAATTCCTATTTCACATTAATTAATCAAAATAAATTGGACTTCCAACTTATCAATAACCAAATCAAACATGGCCATAATTAAACTCTGACCGTCCTCTGAACTTTTGTCTCCAAATGAACACTTAAATTTCCAATAATGACTGTTTTATTGATCTCACCTAAGTATTAACTCAATGGACAAAAAGGGAGAACAAACATTTCGGGCAGGAGTCATTTTTTTTTTTTTTTTTGGATATAGTGAAATTTTAGAAACAAACCCTAATAATAATAATAATAGTATTTGATGCTGAAAATGATGGCTGTCTTTTCTCTACACAAAAAAACTTGAAAACTATCACATCTCTGTGTGAGTATGTGTCTGATGTGCGCACAAAACGGCCTTGCAGTTCCCAGAAGAAATTTGCCCTAAATGGTTAACTGTTGCCTCATTCTGTTCCAAAGAAAAAAAAAAAACAGTTTTTGATCCTTTGCAATTACAACAATTGTTTCCATGTTTGCTGTTGGTATACGATATTATTTCGATACAAAATTACTATTAATGTTCAAGGAGGCTCTCAATTTCTACGATGTAATGACCAATGTGTTTTAGAAATG